ATATGTAGGATATGTTCTTTTTCTTCTGATTATTTTTTGTTTACTCAATTAAATATTTATGGTTTTAGTTACTGGAGTACTGAAATGTGGTAAAGATAAAAGATATTTGAGGTGAACAGGCTTGAAGGGAAGTTTTGTTTCCACGACACTGAAACAGTGATAGATTGAATTGTTTTGTAGAGAGGGGTGAATTCTGAATTAAAGCATAGGCAGTGGACTCAAATGGTCTCAGTGTGGAGAGGGTTAGTATTGTTTACCCCAGAGCAGAGGTAATCAGCTCAAGAAACACATCTGTAGTATTTATGATTTCTGTTTAAGGAATAGTTTGGGAGTTTCTTTGCCCGCATGAGCAGGAATTGATCCTTAAGAATAAAAGAAGTGTGCTGCTCTGGTCTGACCAGTGGCCTAACTCAAACGTCTGTCTCTGTTAACGGCCCTGAAGGGTATTTTCCTGAAAGTCTAAGGGAGCTGGACTTTTAGATGCTTCTTTACTTAAGGATTACTTCCAAATACCATCATGGATTTATCCTCCCTGATTTTATCTCAGTCCTTCTTGAACCTGTTTACATTTTCATTCTGTTCCACTTCTTGAGCTGATGAGTTCTCTAAGTTCCCTAAACATTGCTCAAAGTCCTGCTTTCTTTTTGATAAAATTGCCTTTAGGTTACAGGGATTGCCCCTTTGTTACTTTAACTCTGTGATTGGGTGAATAAAGTCAACAATTTCCACACTTGTCTTGATTCTTATCGATTTACTGCTTCATTCTTTTAGAGCAAGATTTCTCAACCTTGGCAGTATTGACATTTTGGGCCAGATAAATCTGTGCATTGCAGGATGTTTAGCAGCCTCCCTGGTCTCTGCCCCCAAGATGCCAGTAACGCTGCCCCTTCCCAGTTGCGATAACCAAAAATGTCTCCAGATATTGCCACATTGTCCCTGGGGAACAAAATTGCCTTCAGCTGGGAATCACTACTTTAGATATTTGTCTTTTCCAAACTGTAGGGTTTTGTCTTTTGGGACTAACTTTATAAATATGGAGGCTCCTCTATCCAGTTGATTGTATTGTGCTTTTCTGGGTTTTTTCCAGCTCTGGTTGATGTCCATCTTGAACGACAGTGACAACTACTTTTCATAGTTTCAGTTTTTTCAGGTCAGCTGCATCGTTTGTGAGTGGTGTGTGGAACAAATACCTTGAAAACTTAGAAGTTTTTTTCTAATTATAAATGTCCTATATGTGTACTGTAAAAATGTGGAGAATGGAAAAAATTAGAATGTTTTTGTCACTCAGAAAACTTCAGTGTTATTGATGCAACTAATGTTAGTAAATTGGTTTATGGCCTTCATTATTTTCTATATATTTTATTTCATAGGTGCAATCTTGCTATAAGACCAATTTTTATAGTTTTTCCACTTAACATTTTTATTTATTTATTTTATTATTTATGGCTGTGTTGGGTCTTCGTTTCTGCGCGAGGCCTTTCTCTAGTTGCGGCAAGCGGGGGCCACTCTTCATCGCAGTGGCGGGCCTCTCACTATCGCGGCCTCTCTTGTTGCAGAGCGCAGGCTCAGTAATTGTGGCTCACGGGCCTAGTTGCTCCGCAACATGTGGGATCCTCCCAGACCAGGGCTCGAACCCGTGTCCCCTGCATTGACAGGCAGACTCTTAACCACTGCGCCACCAGGGAAGCCCTCCACTTAACATTTTAACATGAATGTTTCCCTGTGTACCATGTTTAAATAATTGAGTGAAATACCATAATATTAATATACTTTAAGTAGTCCTCTTTTGTTTGATAGCTAGGTTTCATCTATTGTTTTTATTAGGGAGTTTTAATGAACATTTTGTTCATAAATCATTTTCTGTGTTTTGGATTATTTTTCAAATATGAATGTTGGAAGTAGAATTCCTGGATCAAAGGGTATGAATATGTATAAAGTAGAGCCTTAGATTATTTTTAAGTTGCTGCATGGCCCCACAGATGGCAGTGAATAGTGGCTCCTTGAACTGACCATGCATTTCAGAAGTATGTCTGGTGGGTGTATAGAAGGAAAGAAAGGGCTGTGTTTGAGTTAATCACTTTTCCTGCCCCCTGCTCTTCTGTGGAAACATTAATGGGGAGTCCAGTAGCCACCAAACCACAGACTTAGATTCCAGTCCCAAATAATCCTAGTTGGGTTGACTTCCAGACAGTGCTCCTTTAAGAGGGAGTTTCACCCAAGGAAGGTATTTATTTTATACAGTTGTATTTTGCCTGGCTTACAGTCACTGTTAAGATTAATCAGAATGCTGTTAATCATTTTGGTTGAGATTATAGTAGGAATAAGATCTGAAAACCGCCTTCAAATTACAGTTCTCAAGGGTGCAATGTAAGGGCTGGTGCACATTTCATTTCTGCCAAAACAAAGGAATACTCATTGTGGGAGGTAAGGAAGAAAATAATGTCATTGTAAAGTCTGCACGCTGAATAGAGGACTAGAAAATAAACAGCTGAATAATATATCCAAATGTAAGGCAATGAGGTACATCGCACTGTACTTATTCTTGGTTTTGCTTAACAAAAAATTTTATTCTAAAGTACTTTTTAAAGGGTACCACCAAATGAAGTTTCACATGTTGTCTTTAGGGGTGCCTGGAAGCAGAATGTGAGACCATATTTGAACGTACATGATTTGTTGAGGGACTGCTCTCGGGAGAAACTTATAAGGGAGCAAGGACAAGAAGGCAGGGAAGAGGAAGAAGCTAAAGTAAGGATATAGTCTAGCATTAGCCTGTTTTGGTTAGGGGCATGGTTGGGGTGGTGTAGAGCTACTGGCTGCCCCTGGGAGGGAGACAGGGAGAGTATAATCTCCCTGGCAGGACTCCAGCCCTTGGGGAAAGGGACAGCTGTGAGCCATTAGCAGCCAACAAGCAGTACCTGGGAGATGGGTATGCTAGCTAGTAAAGGGGATGTGGGTGGGGCATGTTTACTTTGTGCAGGACACTGTGCTGAGACCTGGGAGTAAGAGATGAATGTGACATAGTTCCTGCTTTGAAGATGGTTGTGGTCTTGTGGCAGGGCTGACCATGTAAAGAATATTTACAGTGCAAATGAAGAGCATTTTACATGGACAGAAGCATGTATAGAGGCTTGGATAGAAAGCAAAGGAGTGAATAATTGTGAGAGAGGCATATCTGGGGAACCTCACTGAGGAGATCTAACAAATGGGTCGGACCAGGTTGGGGGAAAATGGGATGGTCCGGGTTAACAAGCAGGGGACTGTAGGCAGAGGGAAGAGCCCTGTCCAAAGGCTGGCAAGTATGAAACAAGATGGTATGTTCATGGAATCACATGAGGCATAGCATGTGCAGGAGGCAGGGGGGAAGCAGCTGATGAGGCCTGACAAATTGGAGCCGGAACGCTGTGGGCCTCCAAGGCTATGCTTAGGAGTCTTGGGCTTAGAAGGGGCAGCATTCCTGCTGTTAACCCCCCAGCCTGCCTCAGGTCTCAGGGTCAACTTGGAGTGCCCTGAGCTCTGCCCTCTGGTGGCCATGTAGCTCCAAGCATGTCATTTAAACATTTCTGAGCCCCAATTTCATCTGTAAAATGGTGATAATGATGTTTATAGGACTGTTGTTGTGATTAGAAGTAATAAAGACAGATCTAAAGATTTGCCACCATGAAATTATTCTGCTGATATTTACTGTTCTTTGTCATTTTCCTGTAGTAATTAAAACAGCAGTGCTGTCACAGAAATAAATCAGTGGACTTTAATAGCCCAGACCCAAAAATTTGCTTGCTTTGTTTTCTTTTCTAAAAATTATAAGCAACCCAGTTTCCAGGACTGGTGTTATTGGTGTTAATCTGTTTCCTAGGCTCTTTATTGATAATAAAAGATTTTTTGTTTCCATCTATAGTAAAACATGACTGTTACTGTAATAGTTTAAAAACCACAAGATTTGGGAACTCCCTGGCAGTCCGGTGGTTAGGACTCAGTGCTTTCACTGCTGGGGCCCCGTGTTCAATCCCCAGTCGGGGAACTAAGATCCCACAAGCCGTGTGGCATGGGGGAAAAAAAAAGCACCAGATTTTACAGATTCTTAAAAATCTGCACCTCCCTCAGTCATGAACAGTTTGGTAGCTCATCTAAAGAAGAGAATATTATAGAAAATGGAGACACTCTTTTAGCCAGAGTTCATAAGACCAGAACTTCAGATGAGAGGAGTATCTAGCTTACAAGAAGTCTTAGGTCTCCTGAAACTTTCAAGAAAGTGAAGAGAGAGGGACCATACTCAGTTGGCTTTCTTCACTGACAGTTTTTAGAGAATAAAAGTATTTCTTCTATGGCATATGCTGCCTTCAATCCCAGTACAAGCTATCCATATGGAGGTTATGTTCAGTAGACACAGAATTTTTCTATTGATGTTATTCTTGACTCTACCTAAAAATTTCTCATTGGTAAAATGTCACAATATTTTTAAAGGTTTTTTTTAGCTTTATTGAGATATAATTTACATACTATAAAATTCATCCATTTTAAGTAGACAATTCAGTGGGTTTTAATATATTTACAGAGTTTTGCAACCATCACTACTACCCAATTTTAGAACATTTCTGTCACCCCAAAAAGAAGCTTTGTGCCCATTTGCAGTCAGTATTCTGTGTTCTTACTCCCAACCCTAGGTAACCACTAATCTACTTCCTGTCTCTATATATAGGCCTGCTCCTACTCTGGACATTTCATATAAATGGAATCATATGATAAGTGATATGGTGTTTATGACTTCTTTCACTGAGGATAATGTTTTTGTTAAGTGGTTTTTTTTACATGTTTTACACATTGTAGCATGTATCAGTACTTTGTTCCTTTTTATTGCTGAGTAGTATTCCATGGTCCAGATGTACCACAGATTGTTTAACCATTCACCTGTTGAAAGAAATCTGGGTTGTCTCCAGTTTTTGACTATTATGAATAAAGCTGCTATAAACATTTGTGTATAGGTTTTTGTGTGAACATGTATTTCCATTTCTCTGGGGTAAATGCCCAGGAGTGCAATTGCTGGATCCTGTGATAGTTACATGTTTAATTTTTAAAGGAATAGCCAAATTGTTTTCTAGAATACCTGTACCATTTACATTCCCACCAGCAGTGTATGAATGATATAGTTTCTTCACATCATCACCATTTGGATTTTCACTGTTTTTTATTTCAGCCATTGTGGTTTTAATTTTCATTTCCCTGATGGCTAATGATATTGAACCTCTTTTCATGTGCTTATTTTCCACTTGTAATGCTTTTTGGTGAAATGTCTGTTCAAATCTTTTGCGCATTTTAAATTGAATCATTTGTTCCTTACTGTTGAGTTTTGAGCGTTCTTTACGTATTCTGGATACAAGTCCATTGTTGTAAATGTGGTTTGTAAATATTTTGTCCCATTCTGTCGCTTGTTTCTGTATCTTCTTAACAGTCTTCTGCAGAGCAAGTTTTTCATTTTGTTGAAAGTGAATTTTTCTTTGATAGATCTTGCTCTTGGTGTCAAATCAAAGAACTCTTTGCTTAACCCTAGGTCCTGAAGATTTCCTCCTTTGTGTTTCTAAAGTTTTTTTACTTTTACATTTAAGTCCATGATCCATTTTAAGTTAACTTTTGTATAAGGCATGAGACTTAGGTTGAAGTTCTTTTTTTTTTCCTATTGTTCCAGTACCATTTGTTAAAAAGACCATCTTCCTCCATTTGATTACTTTTCTACCTCTGTCAAAAATCTGTTGGGCATATTCGTGTGGGAGTATATTCATTTTAATACTGCAAAATATATTAGGTTGTGGTAGGCAGAATAATGGGCCCCCTAAGATGGCTATGACCTAATCCCTGGAACTTGTGAACATGGTAGGTTACATGGCAAAGGAGAATTAGGGTTGCTAATCAGCTGACTTTAAAGTAGGGACATTATCCTGGATTATCTGGGTGAGCCTGATGTAATAACAAGGGTTATTAAAAGTGGAAGAGGGAGGCAGAAGAGAAAGGTCAGAGAATGAGGTGTAAGGATAGAAGCAGGGTTAGAGAGATGCAGTGTTGTTGGCTTTGAAGACTGAGGAAGCTGGCCAGGAGGATCCAAGGAATGTGAATGGCCTCTAGAAGATGGAAAAGGTAAGGAAATGGATTCTCTCCTAGAGCCTCCAGAAAGGACCACAGCCCTGCCAACATCTTGATTTTAGCTTAGGAATACCTGTATTAGACTTCTAACCCACTGAACTTACTATTAGAGATAATAAATTTGTGCAGTTTTAAGCCACTGAGTTTGTGGTAACTTATTGCTGCAACAATAGAATACTAATAAATGGATATTTCAGAAAAGTTCCCATTGATAATAGGATTCTAAATGTTTGGGCACACCACTTATCTGGAAAGTTTACATATATGGAACATCCCAATGGTATCAGACAAATGAAGTGCTACTCTAGGTAGATTTGTGCATTCAATGGGGAATAATTAGAAAATATATTACATTTATCTTTAAATTTCTACATTCATTGTGACTTTAAATTATGTTCCTTTTTGATGGGAAGTGTTTTGTGACTTGTTTTTGTTTGCATTTCAGAAGAGTGTTTGAATGTCTTGAGTTTTACACTGGGAACCAAACACAGCCCCCAAAATTTATGTGACGGGAGGTTAACATCCTATTTAAAGAAACATTCTTCATTTTGCAATATATAGATACTGAATTATTATGTTATAAACCTGAAACTAACATAGTGTTATATGTCAATTATATCACAATTTAAGAAAAGAAATATTCAGTTGACTTTGATAGTAGGACAAATAGAATTTGATTAATAATCTTTTTTTTTTTTTTGCGGTATGCGGGCCTCTCACTGTTGTGGCCTCTCCCGTTGCGGAGCACAGGCTCTGGACGCGCAGACTCAGCGGCCATGGCTCACGGGCCCAGCCGCTCCGCGGCATGTGGGATCTTCCCGGACCAGGTCACGAACCCGCATCCCCTGCATCGGCAGGTGGACTCTCAACCACTGCGCCACCAGGGAAGCCCAATAATTTTGATACTTATGCTAATCCTATTCGTTTTTTTAAATAACAGCTTTATTGAGTTATAATTTACGTACCATACAGTTCACCCAGTTAAAGTGTACAGTTTCATGATTCTTAATATATTCACTGATATGTGCCAACATCAGTACAGAGCACTTTGAATATCTTATCTCATTGCCTTCTGATTTCCATTGTTTTCCATGAGAAGTCAGCTGTTAATCTTATTGGGGTTCCCTTATAAGTGAGGAGTCATTTTTCCCTTGCCGCTTTCAAGATTTTCTCCTTGTCTGGCTTAAAGCAATTTGACCATGATATGCCGTCTATTTGTGCAGCTGTTTGCAGACAGTAGTGTAGTAGTAGAAGTAGTAGTAGTATAAACTACTTGGAGTTTTTTGAGCTTCCTGGATGTGCAAATTAATGTTTTTCAGTTAAATTGGGAAGTTTGCAGCCACTAAAAAAAAAGGTTGTTTTTGCTTTCTTTCTCTCTCTCCTTGTGGCACTCCTATTACATATATGTTGGTGCATTTAATGGTACCCCACATTTCTCTCAGACTTTGTACATTTTTCTTCATCTTTCTTCCTGGTTCATGGTTTTCTTTAGTTCTAGGAACATATTTACATGGCTAATTTGAAGTCTTTGCCTGTTAAATCTGACATCTAGTTGCACTTACAGGCAGTTTCTGTTGCTTGCTTTTTTGCTGGTGTATAAGTCATACTTTCCTGTTTCTTTACATGTCTCGTAACTTTTTGTTAGAAACTGGGCATTTTAGATAATATAACATAGCAACTCAGTACTGGTGCCCCACTGCCCCTCAGGGCTCTTTATTGTTATTTGCTTGTGAATTTTTTTAGTGACTGGCTGCATTATTTTATTGAAACCTATTTACTCTCGCCCTTTGCCCTGAAGTGTGAAGTCTTGATGTTGCTTCTTAGGCATGTGGCCTTTGGTATGCCCACAGTCACCCTGGGATTGACTGTGGTTTTGGCAGGGCTCTTTCTGACTCTTTACCCTGACCACGTCCAGCTGTTAAACTCCACTGATTGCTGTTGTTTTTAATAGTGCCCCCAAACTGATCCAGTCAGATTAGGGCTCCTTTGAAGGGATAGTTCCTGAGATCAGTATTAGAGATTTCTTCTGACCCCAGGATGGTTCCTCCCAGCTATTTCTTTCCTTGGTTCTCTCCAGCATGCTATACCGTAGGCTTGGACTTCTCCACACACTGTTGCAAATGAAGTCAGTTCCACTGGGGGAAGATTTAGAGCCCTCTATTCTATGGCCTACTTCTCCCCCTAGGCAAAATCTCTGAGCCACAGCTCTAGTGCAGGGGGTGGGGACAATGATGTGTTTCCCTCTGAGTGATGACCCCAGGTCTCCTAGGTTTGCCTCTCCTAATGTAGAACCCACGAGCTGGGCCCATGGCAATTAGGGCCTCAGTATTCTTGGTGGTATCACACCCCTGGACTTAGCCTCCATACCAGGAATGGGGGCCACCTGGAAGAAGGGAACCCCCATCTCTCAGCCATAGTTGTCTGGAACCTAGCCTCATCAACCAGTAGTCGCTGTGGACCAGATGAGAAACACACATCCTGCTCTTCCCAGGAGAAAGCTTTACAACTGGGAGCTGGAGGAGAGGGAGCTCTGTGTTCTTGGCTGCACTTGTCTGGTGTGATATCTGTGCTGGGAGTGGGGATGGAGGGAGTGGGTCTAGGTCCAAATACCATGGACTCTTACTTTATGTACTGAGTTGTAGATTTTCTTTAATGAGTGCTTCTTCATTTTCTGTATGCCCTTAGGACCATTTCCAGAGATTTTATTTTATTTTATTTTTTTAAAGGGAACTTTATTTTTATTTATTTATTTTTGGCTGCATTGGGTCTTTGTTGCTGCACGGGCTTTCTTTAGTTGAGGCAAGTGGGGGCTACTCTGTTGCAGTGCATGGGCTTCTCATTGCTGTGGCTTCTCTTGTTGTGGAGCATGGGCTCTAGGCACACAGGCTTCAGTAGTTGTGGCTTGCAGGCTCTAGAGCAGAGGCTCAGCAGTTGTGGCGCACGGGCTTAGTTGCTCCGTGGCATGTGGGATCTTTCTGGACCAGGGCTCGAACCCGTGTCCCCTGCGTTGGCAGGCGGATCTTAACCACTGCGCCACCAGGGAAGCCCTCCAGAGATTTTAAATGAGTGTTTTTTGTTTATTTTTTAAGTAATTTTCACCAGTTTCACTGGTGAATGGATCCACAAATCTCTTCACATTGTCATGCCAGAAATGGAGCTCTACTAGCTTTTTAGCATACAGTTTTGTTTCTGTTACTCCTGATTGCTCATAGTGGCCTTGTACTTGGATTTCTATCTCCTTGGTAGATTGTGAGTCTCTTGAAGGCAGTAGCCCTGACCTTTATTCCTTGTTGGATCATGATTGTCCCTAGTAGCATTTTATATACTGTGGCGCATAAAAGAATGTTAGTTATTGACTGTATCACTGTCTTTTCTAGTTTATATTTTCAGCACTTCTTTTGTGACTTAAAGTGTCTTACCATGTTTTCCTTTTTTTCTACTCTCTAGTGGTGATGTGTTCCCAGAAAGGTGGTGCCTCTTTTTTATCTGTCACTGGTCTCTCTTTCTCTCTTTCCCTTTCCCTCCCTCCCTCCCTCCCTCCCTCCCTCTCTCTCTCTCTCTCTCTCTCTCTCTCTCTCTCTCTCTCACACACACACACACACACACACACACACACAAGGATGCTTAAACTATTGGAAGTTTTAATTAAAAACATTATTTTTCACGATATAGGAGCTTTCTGTAGCATTTCTTGCGATAGATAGATATAATTTTAAATTAGGCTAGTTTGTGGGATGGGAACAGGTAGAAAGTGAGAAAGGGGGAGAAAGGGCAGGCAGAAAAGCAATGGTTTGTGCTTTTAAAGATGGGACATGCCTCACTTGTTCTTTCTTCAGCCAGCCATGTCTCATGCCTTTTTAACCTTGGCCCTTGACAGCTCTGCCTTTGCAACTGCTTTTTCCTTTCTTGCTCCTCTCTTATTGGGGATCCCTGGCTGATGTTGACCCTGTGGCTGCCCCCCTTTGTTTGGGTGGACAGTGGTCATGTGGCCACATCTGAGGCTCCAGCCAATCCTATACCATTCATTCTCTGCTGCTTGGATTTCCTCCTAAAGCTAATATGTGGCCTCACCCAGTCTTTGACACACTGTGTATTGGAGAATTTGGTAGTACTCTTCTCCCATCACTCTAGGTCATTTGAAAATATTCTTTACAGAAATTATTTGATTTGTGTGATTTGCCTGCTGCTGCTTCTTGAGCAGTATTGACTGCCCTCTGGGATGGGTATGTGTGGGTTGACTATTTTATTCAGTGTTGTTCTCTTTCCCAGGATGCTCCAGGATGAAACGTCATAGAACTCTCAGCAGCAGTGACAGTTCAGACGAGAGTGAGTAGAACCAGCGAACAGCTGGTAACCTCTGTATCTGTAATCCTTGAGGATTTCTTTGACTTGAGGACAAGCTGTTTCATGCTTCTTTTAATGGTTAAAAAATAATGTTTCTAGGAAGGAAAGCTTGGAGTACCATTTTTCTTATTTAAATTTCATTAGACATAGATAAGTTAGGTGAGAAAATTGGTTTTATGCGGCATATAGCATTTTGTTTTTCACTTTTTATTTACCCAAGCAACAAAGCCACATCTACCAATGATATAACAGTCCTTTTCTAGAAAGTAAGAAAAGTATGAGAGCATAATTGTAGGCCCTACAGTTCTATTTGTAGCTCAGGTACTAAGTGTTTGACTGGATGAGTCATCATTTGTAAAAGACAACAACTTTATTAACAGTAGCATTTGGGGAAGTGCTGAAGGTTACACAGATTACCTGCTCCACATTTTTAGTTTTTTCAGTTGCTTTTGCAGATACTTTTTCTCCAGATGGAACATGAATTGTGTTATTCCAAGTTATTATGAAATATGATTACACCAAATTGAATCTCCTCAGCGTTAGCACTGTTGAAGCTTTTGCACCCTGGGATGTCACCCATAAATGTCATTAAACTCCATTATGAAACTTTTTTGGTTGCAATTTAACTGTTTTCTTCAGTGGTATGAGGTCACTGTGCTCTTCTCCACCATATATTTCATATTCTTTTGGATGACATTTAGTTATAATAGCAGGTAATAAGTCTCAGTATGTTTTTCTAATTATCTTTTGCAGGTCCTTCCACTTCCTTTACTTCTGGCTCAATGTATAGGAGCAAGTCAAAAATTCCAAATGAACACAAGAAACCTGCTGAGGTGAGATCAGATATTAAATTCTTAAGACTTAAAAAATAGACAGATAGCTACCTTCTGCCTACATATCTACAATACCCAGATCTTGGAGACGTGAGGAGTAAACTACATGCCAATGGATAGGCTTGTTTTCTGATGAACTTTTTTGTTTTTCAAGAAAGATTCCGTTTCCTTTTTCCTTTGGGGAAAACAGTAACCTTCACTGTGCTTTCATTTTGGTGATGACACCTAAGTGCATGGCTTTAGAATATAAATCCTCTCCTAGCCAAGAAGTCAAAGGGAGCCAGATTTGGAGAATTGGGAAGGACCAAAAGAGCCAAAGATCTGGCCTATGATAGGAAAGAGCTAAGTTGGCAGGTGGGAGGCAGTGCAGGAAAGGATAGATGAGGAAGTTGTGGATAGAGAAGGAAAGGACTGGATTGGAGATCTGGGCTATGGTATGTCCTCACAGCCTTCAGAGCACTACCACCAGGCCAGGAAAAATGGGCCAGTCCTTGTGAGGCTAGTCGTCTTCTGCTTCAAGGGCAGCAAAGTGCCAGGGTTGCACCTGGATTTGGTAATTGTTTTATGAATCCTACAGACTTTCCTCTGTGATAATTAAATGATGAGAAACTGACCTTGTCTATCTTCACTTCTACTATGAGTAGTCTTCCTTGGCTGCAAAGGAAAAGGGAATGTATTAGTTAACTGTTGCTGCATTATACGATATCACAAAATTATTGGCTTAAAGCAGCACACATTTATTATCTCAGTTTCTGTGGGTCAGGAGTCTGGGCACAGCATGACTGGGTTCTCTCTGTTCAAGGTCTTTCAAGGCTGTAATCAGTGTGCTGGCTGGGCTGTGTTCTCATCTGGAAGTTTGACTAGGGAAGAATTTGCTTCCACGCTCATTCAGATTGTTGGCAGAATTCATCTCCTTCCAGCTGGAGGACTGAGGTCCCTGTTTTTTCATTGACTTTTGGTAGAGTACCACCCTCCACTCCTAGAGACTGCTTGTAGTTCTTTGCCATGTGGCCTTCTCCATAGATCATCTCAAAACACAGCAGCTTACTTTTTCAAAGCCAGCTAGGGGAGAGTCTTTTACTCCAGTCTGCTAAGACTGAGTCTTTTTTTTTTTTTTTTTTTTTTGCGGTATGCAGGCCTCTCACTGTTGCGGCCTCTCCCATTGCGGAGCACAGGCTCTGGATGCGCAGGCTCAGCGGCCATGGCTCACGGGCCCAGCCGCTCCGCGGCATGTGGGATCCTCCTGGACTGGGGCACGAACCCGTGTCCCCTGCATCGGCAGGCGGACTCTCAACCACTGCGCCACCAGGGAAGCCCAAGACTGAGTCTTATATAACATAATCATGAGAATGGCATCCCATTACATTTGCCACATAACATAACCTAATCGAGGGAGTGACATCCCATCATGTCTGACATATTCTGTTGATTAGAAACAAGTCCAGGTTCCACCTGCCCTCATGCAAGTGGTGGTGCGGGGGGGGCGGCATTGCTTTAGGGTGTTAGCCAGAGAGAGCATTTCTCCCTTTCTCAGAGGTCACTTTTCATTTTCACCTTTTGCCAGGGACCTTTCTGGGCAGAGTAGAATATCAGTGTGTATTTATATGTGTCTGTGTCATGCAGAAAAACTTAGGGAATAAAACGCACATAAACAGGAGCAGAACAAATTTCCCACCTATCCAGAGGAGGCTTTGACTACAGAATGGTGAGAAAGAAACCTTGCTACTTTCCCATTTAGGACAGCCAGTCCTCGAACATAAAGTGACTCAAGAGCTTTGAGTCTTAAGGCCTGCTGCCTCCGAGTCAGTGAGAATATCAGTCTTTTGTTGCAAGAGATAGGGGACCTGGGCTACTGGAAGCAAATTTTTTCATTTATATGTCCCATTCTATTATAAAAGAGAGAACCTGATATTGTAGGACAAAACCAGCCTTGGCATTAGAAAAGATTGATTCCATGTGTTGCTTGGCTGGTTTATTTCATCTCTCTGAAATCATTTGTTTTGTCATTATAACATGGATGTTATCACGCCTACCTCTCATAGGTACCATTTATTGTAATTTTCTGTGCCAAGAGCTTTTTATTAGATAATCTGATTGTTTCCCAAAATTAAGCAATTGTAAGAACCTCCTTGGATGCTGCCTTCATTTAAAATTTTTATTTAATAACTTATTTATATCAGTATGGACTGACATATATTTATTTTATACTTTGGGTTATAATCCAGTACTACATAATATATTGTATTGCTCAAATTATTCTATATATCAGTGAAATCATCTCTCTTATTTTTCTCTTTTCAATTTCCATTGATTTCTGCTCTTACTTTTATTATTTTCTTCCTTCTTGCTTCAGTTTTATTTTGTACTTTTTCTAGATTCTTGAGGTAGATGCTTAGGCTATTTGAAATTTTTCCTTTTTTCTAGTATAAGAATTTTAGTGCTATAAATTTCCCTTTAAATACTACTTTAGCTGCACCACATTAATTTTGGTATGTTTATTTTCATTTTCATCCATTTCAATATTTTTATTTTCCTTGAGACTTCCTCATTGATCCATGGATTATTTAGAAGTGTGTTGTTTAGTTTCCAAGCGTTTGGAGACTTTTATTGCTATCTTTCTGTTATTGATTTCTAGTTTGAGTTCATTTTTGTCAGAGAACATAGTCTGTATGTTTCAGTTCTTTTACATGTGTCAAGGTTTGTTTTCTGGCCCAAGATATGGTTTATCTTGGTGAATGTTTCATGGGCACTTGAAAAGAATGTGTATTCCACTGTTGTTGGGTCCTATTGGTTGATGGTGTTCTTCTGTATCCCAGCTTATTTTCTGCCTAGTAGTTTTATCAGTTGTTCAGTTAGGGCTGTAGCAGTCTCCAACTGTAATTGTGGATTTGGGTATTTCTCCTCTCAGTTCTATCAAATTTGCTTTGTGTATTTTGAAGGTCTGTTGTTAGGTGCATACATATTTAAGATTGCTATATCTTCTTGGTGAATTTATCATCATGTAATGTCCCTCTTTGTCTTTGGTAATTTTGTTTGCTCTGAAGTCTATACTATCTAATATTAATATCATTTCTGGCTTTCTTTTGATTCCTGTTTACATGGTATATGGTATATTTTTTCCATCCTTTCACTTTTCATTTATACATATAATTTTTATTTGAAATGAGTTTCTTGCAGATGATATATAGTTGGGTCATTTTTTAATCCACTCTTTCAATCTCTGTCTTTTAATTGGCATATTTAAAACATTTATATTTAATGTAACTTTTACTACTGTTTGGTTTAAGTCTGCCATTTTACTATTCTTCTGTTTGTTTTCTCTGGGTTTTTTGTTCCTCTTTTATTTTCTGTCTTCTTGTGGATTACTTGAACATTTTTTTAAGTTCCATGTTGAGTTTCCTTCTTCTTTTTCTTTCTTTTTTTTTTTTTGTTGGCTGCACTGCACAGCTTACAGGATCTTAGTTCCCCAACCAGGGATTGAACCTGGGGCCTCAGCAGTGAAAGTGCAGAGTCCTAACCACTGGACTGCCAGCGAATTCCCCCATGTTGATTTTTCTATGGTGGTTTTAAGGGTATATCTTTGTGTAGATTTTTAGTGGTTGCTCTTGGGAAGCAACCTTTAAAAGGGAGGGCCTTTAACAAACATGACATCAGTCTCCTGATCTCTACATTTTACCACTTTGAAGTAAAGGAAGCTTACCACCATTTGGTTTGTTTATCCACCCCACCCCCACCTTTATCATATAGTTGTCTTAAATATTTTCTCTACATACATTGAGAACTACATTAGACAATGTTAGAATATTTGCTTCAACAGTAAAATATTATTATAAAACTCAAGAGGAAAAGGGTAGTCTATTATATTTACCCGTATTTTTATTCTCTTGTTCTTCCTTTATTCCTGATGTTCCAACTTTCCTTTTGTTTATTTCCTTTCTATATGAAGAACTCCCTTTAGCTGTCCTTTTAGGGGGAGTCTGCTGGTGATAAGTTCTCTTAGTTTTCCTTCATTTGAGAATGTTTTGGTTTTACCTGAAGGTTATTTTCACTTGATATAGAATTCTGGTTTGACAGAACTTTTCTTTCGGCACTTGAAAAATGTGCTACTTCCTTCTTGCCTCCATGGTTTCTAATTAGAGATCGCTCTCATTCAAATGGTTGCTCTCCCGTAGGTAATCAGTCATTTCTTTTCCAGTTGCCTTCAAGATTTTTCTTTGTCTTTAGTTTTCCAAAGAAAACTTTAGAAATCCATGCCTGGGCATGGATTTCTTTGGGTTTATCCTGTTTGGGCTTTGATCAGCTTCCTGAATCTAAGTTTATATCTTTTGCCAAATTTGGGAAATTTTCAGCCATTATTTCTTCAGCTATTTTTCAGCTCCACCTTTTTTTCTTTTCTTCTTTTGAGACTTCAACTGCATGAATGCTAGATCTTTTGTTATTTCCCACAGGTCCTTCAGACTCTTCCTGTTTTTTCAGTGTATATTCTTTCTGTTGGTTAGATTAATTTCTCTTTTTCCCTGTTTCTTTATTCTGTTAATTCCATTATTCTATTGAACCTATCCTATGTGTTTATTTCAGTTATTATATTATTCCATTTCAAATTTTCCATTTGGTTATTCTTTGTATCTTCTTATTTCTTTGCTGAAACTTTCTTTTTTTGTTGTTTCAAAAGTGTTTGTAATTTCTTGTTGAAGCATTTTTATGGTGGCTGCTTTAAAATCCTTGTCAGATAATTCCAACATTTGTGTCATCTCAGTGCTGGTATCTGTTGATGGTCTCTTATTCCTGGTTCTTAGTATTATGAACGATTTCCTGTTGCATCCTGGGCTGGGTTTTTGTTTTGTTTTGTTTTGTTTTGTTTTTTGGTATTATGTTATCAGACACTAAGTCTTATTTAAATCTGTTTTAGCAGGCTTCCATAATAACCACACCAGTGGGGAAGAGAGACACTGACTTTTTACCACCAGTTACACAATTCCTAGGCTCCCCATCCTAGTTCT